TGGTCTCTGGGTCTCCATAGGAACCATTATCAGTTGGGTGAAAACTCCTCCTACAGGTGCCTGTCCATTGTCCCCAGAGGCAGGGAGCAGGCCCACCCCTGTGGAGAGATGAGATAGCAGTCTGGCAACTGATTGCCCTCAATGGGGGGAATGCCTGTTCATCTGACCTCCCCCCACACTTATTCATGCTGTATTACAGTTACCTGCGTACTTGTCCATCTCCAGTTAGGAGAGATCTGTAGGGCTAGTTTCTTATTCTTGACCACATGGCGTCAGTGAGCACCATGATTACTGGTCTTGGTTGTTGGAGCAGATCCTCAGGTATTTTTTCCCAAGAATTCAAACCCCTAACCTTTAGATTAGGAGCCAAGTGCTTAACTGTTGTGCGACTAAGGTACCTTTTTAAGTTTAAATGCATCCTTATTGCCGGAACAATTAGAAGGGGGATCTTGAAGTATATTCCTATTTGGAGTAATATTGCTCACCAACATTGTTGTTTTCTTCTTTTCAGATAGGGTGGAAATGAGAAAAGGTAGCTAGAAATGATTTTTTTCCTTCCTTGACTGCCTTTGCCCCACTTACACACTTAACATTTGTGTTTTTGAGCACTAGAAAATATTTCTATTTCAAGAACCTGCTGAGGTTTGGCGTATGCACTAATGAACCAGGCATATACGTGTGAAGGAACCTATAGTTCAGTCAAGGTTAAAGCTACAAACAACCTAGTGACCTCAAGCACGCACATGGTGGTTAGCAGCATTTACTTCCCAATGCACTGTCAGACTGAGGACCTCAGTTTCATATTGCTAATTCATAAGAGGCCCCCCTCAACTACTTGGGGAGTGGCCCTTCTCAACGTGGCTACTTGCTTGCTCAAAGGCAGGAAGGGTTATCTTTCTTGTCAGATCTTACAGTCTATGTAACCCAATCTTGAAGTGACATTCCATCACCTGTATTCTAGTCACATTTGCTGCCCACACCCAAGGGGTGGGAGGACCAGGAGGCAAGGATAATTGGGTGCTGCATTAGAATCTATTCTCAGTACAGTACTATAGATTACTTGAAAATTAGAATTGTGTTTCTTAAAAACCTTTGGAACTCATCACTTGTTAAGGTAAGTAAGTCATCACTTCTTTTTTTTGGTGGTATAATGGTAGTCGTTAAAGAGTATTGTTCCAGAAATTCTTTTATGATTTTACCGGCATACTCAGTATTTCTTAACCTGGTTCTAAATGTTAACATCCCAATGTAAGCATATTTCTTTTGTGATTTCATAAAGTTTTATGGTGTATGTTATAATCATCATCTTAATGTTTTCTGTCTTGGGATAGGTACACCAGGAACGACTCTATCAAGAATACAATTTCAGCAAGGCTGAGAGTCACTTGAAACAGATGGAGAAAATCTATACTCAGCAAATACAGAGCAAGGATGTAGAATTGACCTCTATGAAAGGAGAGGTCACTTCCATGAAGAAAGTCCTAGAGGAATACAAGAAAAAGTTTAGTGACATCTCTGAGAAGCTTATGGAACGCAATCGGCAGTATCAGAAACTCCAGGGCCTCTATGACAGCCTTAGGCTACGAAATATCACTATTGCTAACCAAGAGGGCACTCTCGAGCCATCTATGATTGCCCATTCTGGTGTTTTTGGCATCCCATTAGGTAAGAAAGAATGTGATGAACAATATCTATTATTTAAATCAGTGGTTTTCACATTGTGCTCAGCAAAGCTCTAAGCAGACAGTGGAGCCTCCAAGGGCCTTGGATGGTGGTAGACTCAGAATTTTTCATCCATATCTTAATCCGTACATATCACTTTTATCTATTGCACTTGTCTATATTCAACTTTTTAATTTCAGCAAAGAATTATTCTGTAAGATAAAAGATGATAAATTGCTACTTTAAAAGCTATTAGTTGCAACAATAATAATATTAACTGATGTTTACTGACAGCATACTAAGTAGCAAACATTTTTATTCATATTTTGCATGTATTTGTCATTTGCAAAACTTTGAGGAAGATATTATTACTATGCCTGTTTTAAAGATGCGAAAATGAATTGCAGGCTCAGTTGTTTGGTGCTGTTGCGTTGCTGCTTCTTGGTTTCCCAGTCATGTGATTCACTTGACCTCTGCCTTTGCGGGCAGGAAGTCTGCCTGCTATTCCATCTCACTGGTTCCTGTCTCAGGGGTGTAACCCCTCAGGTGCAGTTCCTCTGCTTGTCTCAGTCTGGCTCCACTGCCCTGTCCCATGTTCCTTGTGCAGTGGCCTCTGGTGCCTCTGGTCTTGGCCTCCACCACTTTAGGCAGAGATCTTGAACTTGCTCTTCTGGTGACTCTTTGATGGTCCCAGGATTCTCTCTTCCTACTTCTCAGGTGGCTCACTTATATACAGAGGAATGCCAAAACTGACCATCTTTGAGTTATAGTCTTCTAGTCCTTATTTGGGAGAAAGATGAGGGTTTTCTACACTCATAAAGAGTTACCGCCTTGGAGACCCACAGGGACAGTTCTGTCCTGTTCTGTAGGGCTGCTGTGAGTCAGAACTGACTTGAGGACAGTGAGCCCTTATTTGCATGCTCTCAGCAATCAGTGGGTGGGAATTTTAGACAAATATACAGGAGATTCATATTTAAGCATTTCACTTCTCCACAATTGCTTTCTTCACTCAAGTTGTGAGTCTTGAGTATATGTTGAATTTTCATAGTTTTCATATATTTCTGTAGTGCTTATTATAATCTTTTTAAAAATTATTTTTATAGAGCATGAAACAGAACCTTTATATATGTGTGTGTATATATATACTAGGTGATACACATGTGAAGAGTACACCCAAAAGTATTGCTACAAAATTGTAGAAACCTTTATTAAACAAAAATAATAAAATGCAAAGCTATTGTTTCTAGACATATCCTCCATCTACACCATAGGCTCCCATTTTCAGACAAAATTTACTCAGCAACCCCCCTGGCAATTAAAAAGTTTTATTATAGTCTATCTCAAACCCCCCCAAACAACTCTACCACCACCAAGTCACGGCTGACTCACAGTGACTGTAGGTCAGGGTGGAACTGCTACTGAGTTTCCGAGATTGTGCATTTTTACAGTAGAAGCCCCATCTTCTCTTTGGCAGAGCGGCTAGTGGTTTCAAACTGCCGACTTTGCAGGTAACTCATAACCATTATGCTACCATGGCCCTTACAATAGCCCATAATCTAGGATACAGCGTAGGTACCTGCTTTTGCAGCCTCCCTGGCTTGTTCTAGAGCCCACAGGGGGTAGTTTTGCCCTCTTTGGGAAGCACTGATATAGGTTTGTATACGTCTAGTGCAGTACTTTCATCTCTCTAACCCTTCCCTGATGAGTTGTGTACTCTTTAATTTACATTACCTCAAAACTACTTTTGGCATCCTGGAGGTACTCAAAAGTGTGCTCCTTTGCAATTTTTTTAGTTTTGAGAACAAAAATAAGTTGGAAAGGGTAAGATCAGTGTTGTAATGTGGATAGAGTAAGGTTTCCCAATGAGATTCTTATAAGACAGTCCTTACTGCCCTTGAAGAATGAGTAAAAGTACCTTGTGATGGGAACAAATTTCTAGGTACAACTTTCCTGGTCTTTTTCTCACCAATGCATCATTCAGTTTTCTTATAACTTCATCTGTGTTCTTTGAGAAAATGGATCAAGATTCCCCAACTTTTATCAAGGTTCCTCAAACAGTCACCACAACTTTGAGCTGACCTCTCTTCCTTGAATTTATAACTGGCCTCGCAGATCCCTTTGGAAGCCACTGTTCTGATTGAACCTTTGTTTTGAAAGTAGCATAACAAGACCAAGACAAATATAGTATTGAGAGAATTGGTCTACTGCCATCCACCGATTGCAAAGCATGTTTAAATGCCTTTTGTTTTGCATAAGCGTGTGCATGTATGAACTGGAATACTTTTTTACTTACATGGGGCTTTTCAAAGTTCTCAGAAAAAAGGAACTGATAGTGGAACTTTCCCACAGAAAATCTGAAGCCCCCTTATATAATAATTTCAGATGCTTCCTTTGAAGTATGTTAAATAGCTAACAAATGAATAAAATTAAAATACTGCCAATTCTAGCTGTTCTGAAAACATATCTCAATGTGTGACTACTTTTGGTGATGAGGTCATGGCTATCACTGGAAACTGCACCACAGAAGAAAGTCATGAATGGTTGGAGGCAAAGATAATTGCCATCCTAGTCTTTTTCTGTACACAACATGAGGTCTGACATGGCAATGGTTGGGAGGATGGGCCAGTATTTTGTTTTGTTGTACACAGGGTGACAATAGTTGGAACTCATATCCAACAGTACCTCACAACAAGAATGGTTTATATTTTATCTGTAACTCTCATAGGAGTCGAGGTCTGTTAAAAATATTCATTGAATGGCTTTTTTTGTTCTTGGAATTTGTCAGGAAATACATACTTATGTTCTTTCCTTATTTTTTTCCTGCAGGGAACCACCCCAAGTTTCCTTTGGACAATACGCCAGTTAGAGGTCGGGGTGGTGGAGATGGAGATTTTCAGTTCAAACCATTTTTTGTGGGTTCCCCCACAGCACCTGAACCCAGCACCAACTTTTTCAGTTTTGTCTCTCCAAGTCATGAAGTAGAGAAACAGCAAATCTCCAGTAGAGCCTTCAAAATAAAGAGAATTTAGATTACATATGTTTCTGTGTCCATGGTTAATAACTTCACTTAGCAGGTAATCTTTATTCTAGACAGAAGTTGCCAATTTCATGGTGCTATGAAGTCTTTGAAGTTGCCTTTACATTTTCAACTTTGAAGAAACTAATTTTAGAGTCTCTTTTGCTTGTTTTTAATTACTTTAAGCATGCTCAGTATTAGAGCATATAGATTTCATTGTGAACTTGAGTTTCCACGAGTAGTCATGGCATATAGATTGACATATTGAGTTTTCCATAATGACTGTCTGACTGAGCTCTATATTTAGGCATAAGTTATTGTTTTATATGTCTCTTTGTGACTTTGGGTTCTGGTATTTGTGTGTACATACATGTATGCATTTATTACATGTATTTTTTATATTTGCTTATATATGTAAAAATTTTGTCTTACAAAATAGGGATGAGCATATGGCTTATTTAATTTCCATATTTTAAATTTATTTTCATATATATTGGCCACTGCATTAATTTGTTTAGAAGTATATTTATGTGAATGAGGATACAGTGTAATTCATACATGTCAAGTTTCTATTTCTGAATAAAAATAATTCAGATGGATAAAGTTATAATTTTGAAAAATTGATTTCTGGGGTATTTTGATTTTATTTTTGGTTTTCAACACTTAATTTATTTTAAAAATTTATTATTAATTGTGAGTTGATAGATATATCATTCCATAGTTCAATCTCGTCAAGAAATATTGTACAATTGCTACCACAAACAGTTTCCAAACATTCTTTTCCTTCCTGGACTCCTTGAGATTGTCTCCATTTTACCACCCCCACCCCCAACCACTGTACCACCACCTTATGCTACTTGTTGACCCTATAGGTTCATCAATTTTTGGTTTCAGGTACTGAACAACAGAAAAACATGTACCAACTTCAAGAGGGTGACATAACACTTCTGAGATAAACCCTAATATGAGCAAACAAACAAACCAAAACGAAAATACAGAAAATGTTGAAAACTAGATCAGGTCCAGCATGCATCAGAATGGGGATCAACTGACAAAGTTTTAACTGTTTGAGTCAGGTTTATCACTTTGATCTTTTGTATTCATCTCTATCAATCACTCTGTTTAGTAACTTCCCTCCAATGCCTCAATTTGGATAGAGGGACATCACCGGGGGCTTCTTTCCTGTGTAACTCCCACAAATGTATCTGTGCTCTCACTGTCATCCATAGCCTTCTGCAACCTGGATTCTCACAATTTAGGCTCTGATAGGAATCGCTCCTTCGACTTCAGATTATATGATTTACAATGGCATGCTTTTATGTGGACTTAGTTGACACCCCACTTAGATAGTTGCTTGGTTAGAGAAACCTTTTAAGACCCCAGACTACCTGGTAGTGGGGCATTATAATTTCTTTACATTTTGGGGGATTTAAGAGAAACATCCTTTTTGTCTTTTTGCCAAATGTAACCTTAGGTTTACTTATTTAGGAATATACTTGTCAGCTGAAACTACTAAAATGTGATTGGTTTAAAGTGATCACATTAAATTAAGTGTTAAATTGTTCTTTGTTTTCCTTTATCCAATAGTGTTTCAGACTACTATCACAGGTAATTTATGAAAATGTAGAGCCAAGAAAGACATTTGAAGGATACTTTCTGGTTCTGCTAGTTGGTTGGAAGCATGCTGGTTGGAAGGCAGACTACCTGGGTTTTATGTCTTTTATATACAGTGGCTGAGTGAGTTTAAATTTAAACTTTGGGGCTTTAGTTTCTGTATCTGTGAAATGAGTTGCCTTAGATGACCCTTACTGCCTTTTCTAGTTCTTACATTCTTTGATTAGTTCCTATTACTACAGGATAAATGACAATGAAATTAAATGCCAATCCTATTGATTTTTAGGTAATAAAATTATAACAAAGTCATTTGAGGATATTTTATCTTAAGTCATTACAGAAAGGGAGGTGAATATCCTTGCTTTAGATAAATGAAGAACAAACAAGTACTTATACTTCAGTATGAATAAACTTTTCTTGGGAACTTTTTTCTAGGAATAAACTCAGACCAAACTATGCCACTGGGTCAGTTTTGAACTTAGAATAAACCTCTATATGACAGAGCAGCAATCCATTGGGTAACTGAGACGAAACCTTTACTGGAACACACAGTCTTTTCTCTGATGTCCTGAACCGGAACCTTGTGGTTGGCACCCAGTACTTAGCCTACTGTGTGACCAGGGTATCAAAACCTCAAACTCCCTGCCATAGTGAGTCCATTCTGACGCCTAGAGACTCTTTAGCACTGGGCAGACTGCTTCTTGGGCTTTCTGAGACGAACTTTTAAGTAGAAAGCCTCATCTTTCTCCTCTGGTGTGGCTGGTGATTTCACACTGCAGACTTTGTGGTTTGCAGCCCAACTATCACCCACTGCCCCACCAGGACTCCTTGGCCAGGGTAAAAAATACAGAATTTCTTCAATTTAAATTTTAACTGTACTCCAAAGAAGGTGAAAAAAGATTATGTACCTTAAAAGTTTAAAGTCAACTCCCATTACATAGCTAATCAAATATATGTTACATATTTTAGAAAATATTAGTGTTTTCCTCCATGTGTAGCTTGTGGGAGAAAGACAGGGCTTTCTACTCCTGTAAACAGTTACAGTCTTGGGAACTCTAACGGGCA